GCAGAGAGGAGCCGTGCTGAAGGGTGAATTTGGAACCGGTTAACCCGGGGAGAGCGACATGGTCCTCCCAGAGCGCTTGGGTTATGAGGGGGCGGCCGCAGGTAACGGCCGGGGGCGGCAGGAGGCCGGCGGGAAATGGCCGAGGGGGCTGCGGGGGGGAGAGGCCCCCTCCCTGGGGGAAAGCCCCGGCACAGACCGGCAAACGATGTGGCTGTTAACGTGAGGGCACCTGGGAGTAAGGATAACCTTCACTGCCTGGAGGCAGGTGAGGGAAGGTAACTTCCTTAAAACTGAACTTCCTGACTCGTTATTTTCCCTTTCTACCTCAGGAGTGGAATTGAGCGTGAAATTAATCTGTACTTACAGCCTGGATAGTCGCAGTCATAAATATAAGATGGGTTTTTTGTGGAGGTGTTAGGATTTTTTGTGCATTCTCACGTTGTGTGTCTTCAGAGAAACCTGTATCAGGGGGTTTGGTATTTTTTACACCTGTGTGTTTTGTGTCAAATTTGAGGAGTACATGAATACAAAGGTGACTCTTCTAACTACCGATTAGGTAATACCTATTTGAGGTCTGAACATTAAAATGTTCCTCTTCTGATTCATGCTTTACTACCCGTGACAATCCCGTGAGCCGGAGTTTACCCAAGGCTGTGCCGGTGTCGCTCCATGGGCAAACTCCTTCTCCATGAAAGAAGCGGGCTGTGGTTTTGGAAGTTAAGCCTCGATGTCTGTCTTGCAAACTTTTCTGTGTGGACAGACCCCTCTGCCTAACTCCTACAAAGCCCGTGCTCTGTACTCAGGTGATAAATAGTGGGTATAAAGCATCCTGGGAAGTTGCCATAAATCTCGATTAGCAAGGTGACTTGATATGTCAAGCAAAACCAGAATCAGACTTGCAGTTCTGAAACTCCATCAGTGCCATGCTGACTGAGATAATGTGATGTAAGACTGAAAAATTATTAAAGATAATAAAATAAGCAATTTTGGTGGTGCATATGAAGAAGGTAGGTTGACACAAAGATTTGTGGGTTTTTTCTGAGCCATGTACTTTCATGAAGATAATTTAAGAAATTACTCCTTTTAAAAATAATCTTTGTAAGTTGTTACACTTGTACTTTTTGTTGTCGTTTTTCTGTGGAAAGTGAGTTCAGGCCATTTTTGAGCTGTTGTGCTATACCTTCATATTTTTCAACTGTTTGTCTGTATTGTGGAGAAAAATACCTCCCAGACTTCTGTGTGGTTATAATTTGGGTCAATTTTGCACAATCTGAAAACTCCTTACTTCCAAAAGTAGTGAAATCTGTAAAACTGACTGAAGAGTGCATGTTTAAATTCATTTACTTAAACAGCTTTGATATGCTAAATTGAGTGTAACAGTTTGTGTAAAGTAGGTTTTTGTTGGGAGAACTGAGTTTTGAGCTTCTTTTAGAAATAGCAACTGGAAGTTATTTAAAGCATACTTGCATATTTTTTTTTCAGCTGTAGGCATGTAGAAACATTCGTACAAGAATTCTTTTTTTTATTTTGTAGGGTTGATCCATATGGGTTTGAAAGGCCAGACGACTTTGATTATGCATCCTATGAAGCATTCTTTTCCAGATATCTAGTGGTACTCACTAGAAGAGCAATAAAATGGTCCAAGCTCTTAAAGGGGAGCAACAATATACAGAAGAGTTTAAAAGGTGAGCTGTATATCTATTTATAGGTAAGAGTGTATTATGTTGGAACCAATATAAATCACATTAAATTGGTTTGTGGTTTTGAATGTTAAATACTATTTTTGTCTTCAGATGAAAAACAGTAGTATAAACAGTAAAAATGTATAAGCAAGTATGCTGCTGTTAGGGGGATCGTGGATTTGAGTTAAAGCTTACAAAGGGGTAATCCTTCTTTAGCATGTGCTATAATACCTTATTACATCTGTAACTCAGAGATTATGGCCACTGGCACTTCAAGATGCTGTTTTACAGCTGTTTGTTGTATTGTACTTTGCTCTGTGCTCTCTTTAAAAAGACATGAGGTCATAGAGAAGACACTGTCTTGAGCCCCAGGGATCAAAATGTTAGGGCTCTCAGTTGCTGACTCTTGACAGTTTTTTAGATTGCTGAGATTTTCTAGCTCTCCTTATCTTCCTTTTGTAAAATGATGTCCACTTCACAGCTAAAAAGGTGTGTACCAAGAACTGATGCTAAGTGCCTTATGAAGTGAAGAAAGTAAAGTTAATGCAGGAGTTAATGCAACATGAGATAAAATGCCAGTGGAACTGTTAATGGCCAGGTCAAAAAGCAAGAAAACCTCTAGTGATGTTTTATCTTGCAGGAGAGACAGGGAGAAATAAATGGAGGGAGTCAGAAAGTGACAGGGAATCCTGTGAGACTAAAGGGGGTGTGTGTGTTTCCTCCTACTCATTCTCTGGGTTTTTTTTTCATATAAGCAGTTAAATTTTCCCTTTGTTCTTAATGACGCTATTCAGCTTGCTTTCTCTTGGGAGTCTATTTGAGTTGGGCACAGTTCTCGAAGTGTGTTAAAGAAAAGTGAGTAAAACTAAGCAAAAGTTTATCAGGCACTGACAGTAACATAGCTGAATATTTAGAGCTCTACTTCAGGTGCAGACTTTGACTGCTAATTCTGGTGATTTTGTTGTTTGGGGTGGGTTTTTTTCCTTCGCACCAAGAATGGGATGGCAACCAGTGAGACATTTTAAGTATAACAGTGTGTTTAGTGTATGGATGTCCGTTTTTATGCCTGAGGAATTTCAGAAAATGTAGGTTCGAGCTATAGCTGCTAACCAGAAAGTAGCTACTTCTACTCTCTTCTTTTTCTTCCAAATGTAAAGAAGCTTTTGTTTAGGGTGTCAAGTTTGAATATAGTGATAACTGTGTGGTATTTTGGATTAGTGAGGATTTTGAGATTCTGCGGGATTTAGTCTTCTGGTTGTTGTGGAAAAATAATCTCAGGTTTTGATTCCTCTCCTTCTTCTCTTAAAATGTGTGAACTTTGACAGTGGCAGCCTTTAGGAATTTCTGTCGGTTTGTTACATTTCTCTTCCTTTGTGTTCCCTGTTTCAGCATTGTAGACACAGAATGCTACTGTGATACAAACAGTGTGAATGCCTTTGGTCTTTTTTGGAGCCAAAACTTTTGACCAAATCTGTCAACTTGTCCACCAGGCTTTGGTACTGATGGTCATGCTGCCCCACTAGCCACATAACAGCAGTAATAATTAATGTGGTTTTAATTGTTTCTAGTGGACTACTGTTTGTGGAAAATGACATACCATAAATCCACCGAGTGGACACAGGCAATGGCTCTTGACTGTAGTGAGCCCTTGTGGGCTGGTACATCATCTTTGACTTTACTAACTTTTCCTAAAGGTACTTGGATTTGTAGACTATGCATTCTCATGTATATGTGTAATTCTAAGGAGAGTGACTGGAATAAACGATGTTGAGGAAAGATAGTCTGAGTGTAAATTCAAAGTTGTTACAATAAGCCTCTGTCATTATCCTCAACTTATACCTCAGGAGAGCAACAGTTTAACCTGTATAGCTACTGATTTTTAAATGCTTCCCTTCTTATATCAGTGTTAAGATTGAAGTATGTGGCATAACCACCTAGTATTATGTAAACAGTTGTTTTGGTGCATGCTTTATACTGCAAGATGATCTGGCGGTGATTTCCTTGCAAGCAGTCAGAGCAGAAGGTCTGCCTGGTGATACACTGAATTTCCCTCCTCCAGGACCTGATTTCGTTGCTCTGAAGCTTTGCTCAGGAGCCGTTCATTCCGATTAACTTCCCCTCTGCTGCAAGTTGGCCATAAGCTAGAACTGAGACCATTTGATTTGCCGCTTTCCCCCTCCCCGGAGGCAATAGCTGTGTCTGTGAACCCATATCCTTATTTTGAGTTCTACTGGGGCCTTTTCAAAATGCATCCTGCTGTGAGTAGATGTGGGAGAGGCATTGTATGTGTGATATGTCAGTCACTCCACACCCATTTGTCTTTACACATAGAGAAGCTCATAATTCCTCTCTGGGTGAACAGGAGGAAGTGATGACTTGTGTTAATTTTCCAGTTTGGAAATGTGCCGTGTTCACATGCTACTGTGTTTGTCTCACATCCAGGATGGTATGTATGTATATAATTCTGTTCTACTGTAAAGAAAAATAGACTACATTTTAACAACGGTAATTAAGCAGTGTATCCTGTTGTTCTGGATTACAGCCTTTTGGCAGGGCGGGTCATGGGAATTTTGGCTGACAGTTCATTTTGCTCATTCTCTGGTCTCTTATTTTTTGTGATTTTTGTGGTATTTTGTTTCTCCCTGTACCCTTGTTACCTTCATTGTCGCCTCTGCACATGTGAATTTTCAGTTAGTGTTCAGTCACTTGCCTCCTTGCTCTCTGCCACTACTGAGATCCTCTTAATTTTTGCTTTTCTCCATTCAGCTGCTGTCTTTATGGGATCAAAAGACAGTTTGCTGCTCTGGCTTGTTTACAAGGTGAGCAACAGACTGACATAATTGCCCAAAGTAGCTTAATTCTGACCAAAAGTGTGCTACATAAAAGAATTTGGCTGTAAGTGGATTAGTGAAAACTGACCAGTAGCAGAAGGTGCTTTCTAGTCTTTGAGGCTGTTAAAGTACAGTGAAAGGTGAAAGTAATGGGACTAAACAGTGGCTGTAACAGGACTGCTTCTGTTTCAGCCCAGGGGTTGGAGGAAGGAAGGATCATCTTAGTTTTCGTGTTTGACTGTAACTTGGACATTTACAGCACAGATCTGCTTTGTTTCTTCTGTGATGTATTCATAAAATAAAACTTTCAATTCCTTGTTGTATGCTGGTTTTAGCTCTTTTGTAGAATTTTTCCTCTAGGGTCCACGTTAATTTCCTCAGCATTCAACAGTAATTGTTAGTAACTGAAAAAGTAACTGAAAAGTGCAGATGCTTCTCAAAATCACACTCTTGTAATATTTTAGACAAGATATTTTTTTTTTAAATGGGGTTTTACTACATAAACTTAGCCTATGATGTAGAATGAAACAATGTTAATGCAGAGAAAAGGTAAATAGAACTTTATCTAGAAGTAAAAACCTGCAAAATTTTGATATTCTACCATTAAACAGGGACAGGCAGGTTTAAGGTGGTTTATTTATTTTTTAAGTCTTCTTACTATAAGTAATGCACACTATTGAAAAATGTTATTTTCTGTATATTTTTCTCTTGAGGTGACTTTAGTGTTTATCAGTACTTTTAGACTACTACCCTATCATGCAGCAGGTTTTGTTTTGGTTTTTTTTTGTTTTTTTGTTTCTTGTAACAAGAAAAAACATATTAATAAAGTGTGACTCTAAACCTGCAGAAACTGGCACTGGGTGTCAGAAGTAAGGGAACTATTAAGGCTGCTTTTGTTTGCTTAAAAAATGATGTTTCATATTTTATTAATGAACAGAGGCAAAAATTTCATATAAAGAAATATCTTTCCTCACATGTTTTAAAGCTTTGACTGCTTTGTGTACACTGTGGTTGTCCTGGGAGCGATTCTGCATGCGGATACTCAGGGCTTGGTGGTATTCAGCAGTGCTACTTTTGAGATCAAGCCCTTGGTTTACAATCGGAGTCAGATGTGTGATTGGAGACACATGCACAATCCAGCTTCATCTGTGAAAGCTTCTTAAATGTTACAGTGGGGGGATATTCTGCAGTGTGGACCGTTGTGGTCTTTTTAGTTCCTGAGGATAATGTGGAAGATGGCCTACAGAAAACAAAACAAATGCATATTTGTATAAAACAGTACAATTTTATGTATAGAATATGACATATAAAAATAATATATGTATGTATAAAACAAATTAAATTGCAACTGTCCTTCTTTTCAAAACTACTTTGCTGCTTCTGTATGCCATTTTGCAGATCCTGGCAAGTATGGTAATGATGTGAGGAAGAAAAGCACCATGTAAAGGGCTTTTCCACTCCTCAGGGAGTGGAGGAGCTGGGGTAGGTAGTCACTTGGGGTGATACAAGTCTCCGTCTGTCTATTACCATGAGAACGATGACACTGAGGAATAACGAGTGTACGCTGTGCTGCAGGGCTGCTTTCCCCTTGTGCCAATGTCAAAGGCTTGTCCCTGCTTCTCTTGAATTTAATGTGTGTTGTTGGATGTGGATGTTGGCTATGCTTTCAGAATTGACAGTTGTTCCAGAAAAAAATACCACTGGAATTATGTGTTAGAATACGATAATCCAGTAATTTAGCCAGTAAGTTTGCTTCTAGAGACATTCGCAGGCTCATTTGAACATCTCTTCTTGTTGACCTAAATGGGACTGGTTCCTCATACTCATTCCTGCATTTGCTATGTCCATCTCAAGGATTTCTTGAGCATTAGAGGTTTGTTTTGAGTTTTTTTCTTGTAAAAAAAGATGAAGTGGGGATTATTAAACAACTGTGGAAACAAGTAAATTATTTCCAGTCTGTCTAAAAGAAGGTTGTAGTTCAAGTTACTTTATAGTTGGAACAGTAGAGACTGTAAGGCTTATTATACATTCTCATCAAAAAGCTAAACTACCCTGAAGGCCAGATGTTTATTGTAAATGTCAAGGATAGGAATGTTTCTTTGAGAGGAAGTAGGTGGGTGAAATGCCCATTAGAGATGCACAGATCTCTCTGTTGATGCTGGGAAAGCAGCTTTGGCTCCTGAAGGATAGGCAGCTGCAATTAGGTGGAATGCATTTAGAAGGCAACTGGCTGGGTGGCTGTAAAACCTTGTTTCACTCAGCTGTTTTTTAAGGCCTTTAATTCAGGCAGCGTGTATCTTGAGTTACGGGTCTTTGTGACTGGATAAAACCAGGTTAGGAAATGATATTGTGTGTGTATGTGGGAGGAATAAAAATCTTCACTCTCATTTGAGTCCCATAGAATTTAGGGACGATAAGATGATACTCTAATTGATAGGATTTCATCCACTTAGTAAGAAACGTCTGATTCCTTTTTCAGTTTATTCTCCTTGGAAAAACCAGAAGGATTTCAAACATTTGGCTGCCTTTTTGGGTCAGAAGGGATAATGCTAATTCAAGATTCTGTATCAGTGAGCTGCATTGCCTCCTTATTAATATTTTTCATACCATTCCCAGGAGGAAGCTGCTTTGGCTGTCATTAGCCTGATGCTTCTTCCTGCAATCTTGCATCCTAATTATGTACACTGAATCATTTGCTTAAAAAAACAAAACCCAAAACCTAAGCACACCCTGGTGATGAATATGATGCAGGAGATAAGAGCTACTTTAGAATTGAAAAGACTTCCCCAGTTATTCTAGGAAAAATCATCTGCTGCTCGCTCACATCTCAGCTCTTTCAGAGACTTATTTAGACAGCAGCTACATATTTCACATTTCATTTCTGCTGTGATTTCAGTGGTTAGGTGCTAAGCTGAAATCCTAGGGTTATGTTAACATAGCCATTTATGCTAAAGTATAACCAAGCAAATCGAAAGGGCTATCATGTCAGAGGCCATTAGTAATGTAGGGAA